ATATTATACCGAAGAGTATAGCATATACGTTAGATTTATGAAACACGGTAGGTTCTTGCTCCCTTATCCAAAATATAATATCCAGTTTGGCGGAAGTTCATTTATACCATCTGCATCGCTAATCCCTAAAGTTTTATTCAAGATCTCTTTGCGTGAACTTGATGGAATTTCCCTAAGTTTGGATAGAGATGGAAGTTTACAACAATCTAGTGTCTCTGTGCCTTCTAATTCACGTAATACAATTCTCCTTTGATCTCTGATTATGTATCTCATGTAACGTACTTTGTCATTTATTGCTGATTTTAAAAGTCCAAAAATAACGCTAATGATCTTTAAAGTTATCACATTACTCGAAGAATAATTGATATTTTCAATTTGTATTGGACAAAAATACAATCTACGAACTATCATGTTCATGAAATACGGAGGATATTTGGCCAAAAGATGTTCGTTTACAAACCATTTAGGCAATTTACTAATGGCTTCATTTCGCGACAACGATTCGGTCTCATTAATTGTGTTCATTAGTTTTATCTCACCGTTGTCGTCCTTCTTGCTCACCTCCTCTTCTCCTTTACAAACTTCTCCCATGTAGATCAAAGTATCAATGTCGCCGTTAAATTTAAAACTCCTGTTCAAGCGACGCGTATCTCTACGAGCGAGGTAATCTCCTGGAAATCCTAATGGTACAAGTATTTCAGCTAATGCATTCGTATAACTTATATTCTCTTCTATTAAATTCAATACGCTTCGTCGCGAAGGTTTTCGTATTCTTGTTAAGATGTTGGCAACTGCTTCGTCCAAGGTGAACTTGCTTAGCCATGAAAAAATTGCCTCGATGCAACGTTCTTTCACGCACTTTCCCCCTGATGCCGTCTTCAATTTCAAATGACGAAAGAAGTTTTTGAACGTTCCACGTTCGACATAATCGTTACCGAACAAGATTGCTGCCAATAGTAACATTGATTCCTGCAGCCCTCTAAATGAACTTAGTAAATATTCGACTTTATAAATTTTACATTGTTTTACATATCTTCCACCTGAACGCATAACTGTACCAACATTCAATGTGTGAAATGGAATAAAAATCCGCATCTCCACTGAGTACAGGACACTCGAGCATTCTTGCTATTGCAGCTATATCATTATCTGCTTCAAATAGACACTGTACCTGTCGAATGTTCTTTTCTCTCATCACATCTCTGAAAACTTCTCCTTGTAATACGGGCAGAAATCTCTGATACGGAGAATAAGTCGAAACTTTCCGGATTTTCTCTTTGGTCCTCTTTATGACTGTTCTTAATTCTTTGTCCTCGGTACCACCGTCAATCAAAACCAACGGTGTTATGCCACATTTTAACAGATCGTCGAAAAAGATTGACACGTCGTGTACATATCCATCATAATTGCCGCCGAATGCACAATTACGATATGCCTTTTGCGAATGATATATTTGACAACCTACGTTGTTACCGTCAATCACTAAATATGTATTATGTAATTCATAATACCGCAAGTAACGGTCAGAATGATTATTTATGTATACAGTTAGTCCAGGAATTCCCATTTTAAATTTGGAACTTGTATATTTCAAATCAGATATATAAAATAAGTTTTGTAGACAAATACGTTCACGAGTTTTTACTTCTTCTACGCATTTCAATACTTTAGAATTGTGCGGGGATACTGCGAGGGGAATTCCCTGCACCACCACTACCTTCCAAGCTGCGCGAAGCGATATTAGATTCTCGAGAACACGAGTATAGTAGCGTATTACTTTTGGGTTACGTTTATCAATACTGTATAGTCGAAAGGTCGGTATTCAGAGTCGCTGTTTAAGCCAAGACGATCTTAAATTGTAAATTTTACAATTCCTAACATTTCCTTTAGTCTTTAACATTTCCTATCCATCCATCACACATTTCCAGTCCCTGTCTTGTATGTACAAGAAACAGGCACTTGAACAAATGCTTGCGGTCATGACTTATGGCGATTCTATGAATAAGATAGTATGCATATTATCTCATTTTATATGATACCGGTCCGTGATTGCGATTTGTAAGCACTTCCTGCCTTTCAGGGCCTTTTGCATCCAAATGTTTCTGTTCCAATTTATACGGTATTTTTAACACACTAAGATTGTTGCTCCTACGTCCTATCAATACACGTCTTTGAAAGCAGCCGATTGATTTTTATACACAAACTCAACTTAATAAAACCACTGTCACTTTTCACTTAAAAATTTTCAAACACTTACACTGTCGTTTTTGCAGTCTAACATTAAACATCTCCGAAAGGAGCCGATTGTTGTTTATTTACAAAATGAACTTCACTATCCGCGTGACCCGTAAATTACACGATGCGCGAAGGGCACGACTTGATCGGAATGACGCTCTTTTTATCGGAATCGGCGGATAACCATCTTTGCGTTAGGCGAATACTCGGATCATGTCCTAGAACTCTATTAGATTTTTCGGGCTCCGTCATTGAGTTGAGGTGTGCGACTCGAAACCTACTGAATCGTCTCTCACAACTCTCCTTCGGGAGAATTTTCCCCACTCGATGGCCAAATTCGTTAGTGAAAATGTTTTTAACATCCCTGAAAGAAACCCGACCTTCCTTGGGTACCGAAACCCGACCTTCCTTGTCATATTTACAACATTCCCCACGTGTGAATCACTCGGTACCTTCGCGACTTGCAGCCCGCAAAGCCGTAGACACATTGTAGGCAGGTAAAAGCCGTGTCATAATTCGTAGGGAAGAAGTTTCGCCAGCTTATTATTTTCGATTTCCCTTAAAAACACATGTTCGATAATAAAAAGTACCTTTGACTGATTGAACGTAGTAAAAGATGTCCTTCTACTTTTTTTACCATTAATGCCAGATGGAGTGCATACTGGCGGGTCGTATTTTACGCGTTCAACTAGTTACAGGGAAATCGAAAACAATAAGCTGGCGAAAGTTCTTCCGTGCGGATTATGATAGGGTTTTTCCCTGCGTACAATTTGTTTACGGCTACATACGGTTGGTAACTACATTGCATTGGCATTGTTATTCATGTACTTTGTTATTCGTCATTTTCTTAAAACACTTCGTACTGAGCGAAGCGCTTGTTCAAACGCGAGAAAAGCCGGCCTCCTGACTCCGAGCCAGCGCTCCCGAAACGGAGACCGCATCAACCGAGCGCTCTGATTGGTCCGTGTTTTTTGTTAAGAACTCGGTAACCAAGCCCCATTTCGTATTTTGCCAAAGGAAATTGTTGTTCACAATGCTCCTCCCCATCTGCCATTTTCGGCTCTAACAATCTTTCCGGAACATCC